TATCCTCAACTTAAAGATGGAGAAATGAAGTCTGGGGAAGGCTGAGTGACAGGCGAAGGTCACACAGCAGGCAGGAGGGCCAGGATTCCAACTGGGGTCTAACTGTGCCACACTGGTTGTATCAGCCTTTGGAGCAGGGCAGCAAAAATGAGACAGGACTGGACTGCCAAGAGGCTGTTCAAGCCCTCCATAGAGCACTCAAGTAACACTGGACTTCTATCACAGAGTCAGGAATTCTGCGACTTGATTTCAGGAAACAAAGTCCAACTCTGGGCAGGAGAGTAGAAAGGTCAAAGAGCAAGATCTCAGAGACACTTCTGCTTCTCAGAAGGCTTCAGAACACACTCAAAACCACATTTTGTTTTTAAACAGTTACTATTTGTGTGTGTGGGGGAACTGTTAAAAACCTCACCCTTATAAACAAGACACTGTCAAGCTTAGATTGGAGAAAGGGAAGTTCATGGGACTTTTCTAGAAAACTAATTTGTATCAACTTTCCAAAAACGCACACCCTTTGGTCTGGTGATTCCATTTCTAGATATGAAAAAAAGAGAAAACTTGAAAATCATGTCCAAAAATGGCAGCATTAAATTATGGTACATTCACGTAATAGAATTTTAGGCAACCATTTAAAATAGAGTATTTTGGAAATGTTCACAGTGTAATATTTTTTGAAAAAATAACAGCACAATCCAATTTTGTTACTCATGTAGAAAAAAAACTGGCACAAAAATGGGGTTAGGTAACAATTTTTAACAGTTAATATCACCTTAACACTGTATTTTCCAAATTTTAAAAAATGACCGTGCACTACTTTTGTTTAAAGAGAAAATCCCATAAAACCTCTTTTGCAAATGATGTGGATCAACCAGTGCTATTCCCCCTCAGGATTTGGTCAAGAACAGGACAGATGGCTGCTCTGCCCTATCTTTGACACTGGACTCACTCTCCATCTATTTCTTTAGAATGGAATACATCCCATGATTTATGCTGGGACATGTGGATGCAGTTTAATCAAGTTTAATCAGTTGTAGCCTGCTTGGACTGGAAAAAAAAAAAACCTAAGTGTTTTTAAAATTAACCTTTATAACAATGGTACGAGTTTGGGGTGCATCTTCCAGACTGTTTTCTGTGCCTCGCCAGCATTTCAAACTGTTCTCTAACAATGTACAATTTAAAAAACCAAATGGGGATCAAACCGTGCAGACTGTACTACATGTCAACATGCTGACATCCCTGCACTTCCATTTCCTCATTCTTTGAAATGGCTACACCACATTCCATTAAGCTTTTTTTTAACCCCTCCATCAAAGTACTAGAAAAATCACTGCAGTTAAAAAGTCATTGTGCATTCTCAAAAAGTTAAGTACCATGACCTAGCAATTCCACTCCTAGATATCCATCCAAGAGGAATTAATACAAATGTCCACACAAAAATGTGTACATGAATGTTCATAGCAGCACCATTCACAATACCCAAAAAAGTGGAAACCCAAATATCCATCAACTGAATAAATAAAATGTGACATATCCATCCACACAATGGAATATTACTTAGTTATAGGAGAAATGAAGTACTGATTCATGCTACAGCACAAACCTTAAAAACATTATGCCAAGTAAAAGGAGCCAGCCACAAAAGGTTATGTATCATATGACCCCTGAAATATCCAGAATAGGCAAATTTATAGAGACAGAGTGTAAATCGGTGGTTGCCAGGGATTGGGGGGATGGAACGTGACTGCTAATGAATAGGGATTTCTTTTTGGAGGGATGAAAATGTTCTAAAACTGGTTGTGGTGGTGGCTGCACCACTCTGAACATACTAAAAACCACTGATTTGTATGCTTTAAATTGGTGAACTATCATTTGTGAATTATATCTCAATAAGCCTGTTATAAAAACACTAAAAACAAAAAGATAAGATTTTACAATGTTAGTATAATACTCAAAACATAATGTATATTCAATAAATATTTGGAGAGAATGAATACGTTAAGAAAGAATATATGTACCACAGAAAATCACTGTGCAAATATCTTTTTGTCTTCCCTTATACATAGTAGAAGCTCAGGAACTAAGTGTTACAATGGATTGGCCAATCACATGAAATCAGAATATTAGAAAGGGCTCAATGTTTTTAAACAAAAAAAACAAAACCTTTTTACTGACAAAATGAGATCCACATTAAGAAATGCTACGCATACTTGTTTATCACCCACTTCAACTTCCTCTTAAAATACTTTTCCCAGGTCAGGACTGACCCACAGCCCAAACCCACTCACCACATTTCAAACTGCTAAGTGGGAGACACACAGCAGACAGTGCACAGAAGCAACTGCATGCCATGCTGCTTGGACTATTAGTAAGTTTACTGCAATTAGGGACCTTAACGTTACCTTAGTTAAAATTTACGTCTCCCGGGCTTCCTTGGTGGCACAGTGGTTAAGAATCCGCCTGCCAATGCAGGCGACAAGGGTTCGAGCCCTGGTCCGGGAAGATCCCACATGCCGCGGAGCAACTAAGCCCGTGCACCACAACTACTGAGCCTGTGCTCTAGAGCCCACGAGCCACAACTACTGAGCCTGCATGCCTAGAGCCCGTGCTCCGCAAGAGAAGCCACCGCAATGAGAAGCCCGCGCACCACAATGAAGAGTAGCCCCCGCTCGCCGCAACTAGAGAATGCCCACGCACAGCAACCAGTGCAGCCAAAAATAAATAAATAAAATAAAAACAAAAATTCACGTCTCCTGTAAGTCACTACTGACCAATTATGCCCACTGTTAATATTTTACTGATTTAAAAGGAATTACTTGCACTTGGTATCATGGGCATGTCAAATTCTTCCTAAATTATCTCTCCAGTTTATTCACCCAAGGAATATTTTAGCTGCTCTTCTAAGGTGCTGAGGATACACTAGAGAATAAAAATAGACAAAGCCAAGCAAACAAAACCCTGCCCTCAGAGAACTTACAGTCTAGTAAAAATAAAAATAATAATAATTTAAGGAAATCTTATTTTTTACAAACTCGTGTCTTATGAATTAAATAAAATGCCAGCACCACCAAAGAATCCCCACAATTCTCACCTTGCAAATGTTCAGTCTTTTCAAAACACTAAAAATCACAAAGATTTATTAAACATTAATAGAAACACTGAAACTGTTCTCAATAACAAGCTTTTCTCTCCTTTTTATAGATCTGCCAGGAACATAAAGACAAACGTGTCAACTTTACGATTTTATTCAAAATCAGAATTTGAAACATTTCACATCCACACAATCGTTACAGATGAGGACAGCGGGTTGTCAGAGCAGATTTAACAGCCCAGGGTCTTCAAATCATTGATACGAAATGGTTTTTACTATAAGTTAAAAAAAAAATAACCCTCCAATCTCCTTCCAGAATTCATAAATCTCAAGTCATTCAATAACCTGAATTGTGAAACATGAAAATACTGCATCCCCTCCACCTCCAAAAGCAAAAGTGTAACTTAGTACAAAGATCACAACAACTGGCTCAAAAAGGGAACTTTTGGAAACAAAGTCTAAATTCCTGTAAACAATTCAATAATTTAGTGGAAATTTTACAAAGTGGCCAATGATTCTCTTGCAATTCTTAGGTAATTTTTTTCCTCATCTCTATCCCAGGAAGGGAAGGTAACCATATAGACACCTGAGAACAGCCGACCCATCCTTAAAATGCAGCCACTTTCATGTTCTAACTTTCACCTGTAGGCAAAATTCCTTATCTTCAGCAATTGGCTAGGGCTGAATTCTAGCAAGATTCACACATGTGGGCTCATCTCCTCAGGTTAAGACCAACTAAAACCATCTTAAGAGACTAACTCACTCCACAGCTTGAGCCCTTAGATACTTTGTTTCCTACTAAGGTTATGGGGTAGGGCAGATAACAGGGGAGCAATGCGCTGTTTTAGATCAGGCTTTTCTCCATTTGGTCGAGGGAAATCATCGGAGAGGTTTATTTTCCCCAGGCTGAAAATTTGGGGGAGAAGGGGTTAGTTATCTACAATGCCTTGGGGGAAAGATAAATCCTATCCAAATTAAACCGAAAATAATGTTTTATCATATTACTGGCTAAGTCATAAAATAGACTGTGCCATCCAAAAGCTTCTCGAAACTGGTAACATATTCATAAATCCTCCTGGGTATCGCTTTCTTTACAACCTCCAAGGACTAAATTCCAAGAACTAACAATTTAAGGAACCTGACAGCCCCATTCATAAAAATCTCCCAAACATTATTACAGCACCAAAGAGCCACTGGCTTAGAGGTACACTGAGACGGTTTCTGTAAACACGAACAGGTAGAGCCCTCTCGAAGGTAAGCAAAGACACTTCAATTCTCATTCACTTCTCCAAGAGGTCACTTCTTGCATCCAGCACACATACAGAAAGTAACCCAAGGGCCAAGACCATACACCGCACGAGGCTGCACAAAACATTAAATGAGTAAACAAACAAAAACAACACTTCAGAAAACAATGCGTGATCTTGACTAAAAGAGAGGTCAGTCACTCAGCAAAAGAACATGACTCATCCACGGGCCTGAACAGAAGTACTTATACTGCCCACTACACCGAAGTGGGATTTCCCATCTTCATCCAAGGCTGGGCCTTAGGAGTATCTCAGTCGAGTGAAGTTGTGTTACTTCCGTTTTGGAGGGAGGGGGGTCATTTTATTTCGCTGAATCACAACTCCCCCACATCCCCACCCCATACCACCACCACGCACAGGACTGCAAATAGACGAGACCCTGGCAAGGACGCCAGCAAGCACCGACCGAGCAAAACAAAGCGCCCAGTGAGGGGCTGCCAAGCCGGGAGTGGGTGGGTAAAGGGGGCCAGGCTCGCCCCTCAGTGCACCGCTCCCGCCCCCAAGAGCCTGTCTCCGGGCAGGTGTGCAGCGGCAGCCTTCTCCCTCCACCGGGGGACCAGCCCCGTTCTCTGCAGAGCTCCGGCGACAGCCCGGAAGATGAGGAAATGAGGGCGGGGGCGCGCTGCCCCAGCCTGGACAAGAGGACCAAAGCACCAGGGAGCGCATTGGGCCCGCCCCACGTGAGCGTCCGGGCCGGAGCCAAGCCCGCCCCGGGGACTGCGGCCGGGGACAGCGGCGCCTGTGACCACTACGCCGGGCCCGGACTTACCGGGGCCAGGCGCGCCGCGGAGTCCGCGGCGGCCGCTTCCTCCTCCTCCTCCTCCTCACTTGACAAAATGGCGGCGACAGGAAGTGCCGGGCGCCTCGGCCCGCCCCCCGCCCGCCCCCGGCCACCCGCCCCGCCGCTGCGCCCGCGCCCCCCGCCCGCGCCCCTGCCCTGCAGCTCTGCTGGAGCCGGGGGGCGGCGGCGCCAACGGCGGGGAGCCCGCGAACCGCCCTGCCGCCAACGGCGCAGGCGGCCCTGGCCCGGCGCGAACGGCGCGGGGACGCGGGAGGCCCGCAGGCCCGAGCCCGCGTCGCCCCGGCCTCCCCGCCCCCGCGCCGCGCCGATGGCGTAGGTGCTGGCGCACCGGCCCCATTACGCAATGCAGGTTACGCGGGCCGCGCCGCGGAGCTCCGCCGGCTGCCCCGCGCCGTCCGCCGCCCCGAAGGGCACCGGTCCTCACCTGAGACGCTAGGCCGCACGCCGCCCCCGCCGGCCGCCGGCCGCCAGCCGCCGCCGCCCCCTCCTCTTCGGGCTGCCTGCGCGGCGCCGGGGCCCGCCCGCCGTTCCGCCGCGCTCACAGGCCCCGCTTGCCCGCGGGCACTGCCGGCAGCCACCGCTGCCGCAGCCACCGCTTCGGCTCTTCGGTTGCGGGAGAGCAGAACAAACAGCCCTACCGCCGCCGCCGCCGCCGCCGCCGCCAGCGCACTGACGTCACCGCGCACGCTGCGCGCGCGGTCACCCGCTGTCGCCGCCCGGCGTGCGCGCCCGAGACCGTGCCCGGCGAGAGCGAGCTCAAGAGAGCTGGCGGCCGGGAGGTGAGTGGAGAAAGCCGGTGCTTGCGGCCAGCGGGAAGATGAGAACCCCCACCTCAGACCAAGGGTGGGGACTGAGGAGAGATCTTGCAGACCCGAGGGAGGGGACCACGTCGTCGGACAGAAGGGACACCGCAGACCGAGGAAGGAGACACCTCAGAGGGAGGGGACCCCTCAGACCGAGAGGGGAGACAGACCGAGAGGGGTCCCCCCAGACCGAGGGAAGGGACCCCGCAGAACGAGGGTGGGGACCGCGCAGACCGAGTGGGGAGGCACTCAAACCGAGAGAGGGGATCCCGCAGACCAAGAGGGGAGACACCTCAGACTGAGTGAGGGGGTCGACCTACAGGCTGAGGGACGGGACCGAGGGAAACTGAAAATTGGGCCTGAGGGAAAAGATCTGAAGGCAGAGGGAGACGTCCACAAATTTAGGAAGGGACTGATGATAGACCCTCAAAGAGAAGGGGGACAGTGAGGAGAGACTCCAAAGACTGATGGCAGAGGCGGAGAAGAGACACTGTCTGAGGGAGGCCGTGCTGAGAGGAGGCTGAAGGGTGTTGAAGGAGGCTGGAGTGGGGCGGTGCTGGAACATTAAGGGAGAGAGCTGCGATGGGGGCGCTGGTGTGAGGGAAAGGAGGTGAGAGGAGGCTGTTAGCAAGGCTGGGGAGGTATCTTTCTTGGTTGGCTGGCCAGCCACTGGGATCTAAAGACTGGAAGGTGCTGGACTTCGTGCCTAGGGCACTCTCCCTCCAGTTGTCCCCCAGCTGACCTCCTTCTCATCCTTAAGATTCAAACCACAAGCCAGCTCCATAAAACGAAGAGATTAGGCTTAGGTTGCTTACAGTTTAAAATGATAATCCTGTTAAATTTTTCAAATGGGGAACCATAACCTCCTTTCCCCTTTTGCCCTTATCGTCACTCTTTTAGCATTTTAAGTCCCATCTTTTAAAAATAGCAAGCTCAGTTATTCTAAAAAGTCCAGGTAATTAAAAAAATTCCTGATGGTCCCTTCTTTCAGAACATATTGATACACTAGGATAGCAGTCAAATAGTTTTGTCTCTATCATGGTTTGCTTGCTCTTCACTAAGGGCAATCATAAACTACTGATAGGTCCTGGGCAAACTAAAGACTTACTTTTACCCTTTATTTAATTTATTTATTTATGGCTGCGTTGGGCCCTCGCTGCGCGCGGGCTTTCTCTAGTTGTTGCGAGCGGGGGCTGCTCTTCATTGTGGTGCACGGGCTTCTCACTGCGGTGGCTTCTCTTGTTGCAGAGCACGGGCTCTAGGCACGTGGACTTCAGTAGTTGTGGCACGCGGGCTCAGTGGTTGTGGCTCCTGGGCTCTAGAGCGCAGGCTCAGTAGTTGTCCTGCACGGGCTTAGTTGCTTCTCGGCATGTGGGATCTTCCCGGACCAGGGATTGAACCCATGTCCCCTAAATTGGCAGGCGGATTCTTAACCGCTGCACCACCAGGGAAGTCCCAAGAAGGTATCATATAAAGCTGAGCTTACCCATAGTCGTTTTGTTGCATTATCTACTTAATTTATTGTTGTTGCTGAACATAAATGTTTTGGGAAGCATTTGGAGCTGCCAGTTTGCAAGTCACATAATAAAATCTTTTGTCACACTTCATTTTAGACAATGCCATAATACCTAGTTGATTTACTGGACCCAACTAAAGGGCTTTTGGCTATGGCTAGAAGTCAGATCCAACCTGAAGAGAATTTGCAAGCTGTAAAGGCAGTTCCAAAAGTTTTCTCCAAAAATCTTGTAGGACAACAATGTCTCATTCTTTTTATCTTCCATAATGCATATCCTAACTCCTCACAGACAGCTCAAACTCAGAAAATGTTTATCCAGGGAATTCCCTGTCAGTCCAGTGGTTAGGACTCCAAGCTTTCACTGCCAAAGGCGTGGGTTCAATCCCTGATGAAGGAACTATGATCCCACATGCCACGTGGCACTGCCAAAAAGAAAAAACAAAAAACAAAGAATAAAACATGAAGTACATATTTCTGACTTGTTTTAAATATATATTATTTATTTTTAGTGAAGTACTACATGAAATAATTTAAATTGAACGATACAAAAGAATATAGCAGAAAAAGTGTCCCCCTTCATTCTTCCCCTCCCCCACCAGAGTAATCACTGTTATCACTTTGATGTGTTTAGACCTGTGCTGTCTGATATGATAGCCACATGTGGCTATTGAATGCTTGAAATGTAGCTGGCCCAAGTTGAGATGTGCTTTAAGTGTGTGAAATACACATTGTACTTCAAAGATATAGTATGAAAAACATGTAAACTATCTCGCTATTAACTTTTTATATTGATTACATGTTGAAATAATTTTTTATACATTGAGTTAAATAAAATATATTATTAAATTTAATTTTACCTGTTTCTTTTTACATTTTTAACATGGCTACTAGAAAATATGAAATTACAGATATGGCTTACAATGTATTTCTGTTGGACAGCACTGGTCTAGACTTTTTAGTCTATGCAGCAGTATATCTACATATAGAAATAGTTGTGTTATAAAACAAAAGACATCATTCTGTACTTGTTAATTTGTAATATGCTTTTTTCATTTACTACATCTTGGAAGTCACTCCACATGACTACTTGGAGATCTGCCTAATTGGGAGATAACTTGGAGAGAATATACAGTATTGTTATCTGGTATGGATATATCATAATTTATTTTACCACTCTCCTATTATGTACATTTAATTCATTTCCAGTTTTTTCATCATAATAACCAGTATTACAGTGAGATTCTTCTGCATTTCTCATTTTCTTTTCATACTTGCCAGTAGTTTTACAGGTTAAAAAAATTATATAGTGTTTTCTTGAAAGCAAGGGTAAATTTTTTTTTTTTTTTTTTGCGGTACGCGGGCCTCTCACTGTTGTGGCCTCTCCCGTTGCGGAGCACAGGCTCCGGACGCGCAGGCTCAGCGGCCATGGCTCACGGGCCCAGCCGCTCCGCGGCACGTGGGATCTTCCCGGACCGGGGCACGAACCCGTGTCCCCTGCATCGGCAGGCGGACTCTCAACCACTGCGCCACCAGGGAAGCCCGCAAGGGTAAATTTATATAGCGTGATCAGCTTTGGAAAAGCTGGAGGTGTTTGATTTGCTATGGCCTGAATCCATGCCCACTTTCCAGTGAGAACTTGCCCATGAAGTTACTATAAATTCTGGAATTTATAGTTAGGTTCTAGAGACGGTGAGTAACCCAAGATCACACATTTACACAGTTTAGAACTCATATCTCCTGACTCCATGAAGACTGCCTTCTCTAACCCAGAAATCGACATTTTTTGTTTGTTTTTTTGGCCTTGCCACTCAGCTTAAGGGATCCTAGTTCCCCAACCAGGGATAGAACCCGCGCCCCCTGCCATGGAAGGGCAGAGTCCCAACAACTGGACCACCAGGGAACTCCCAACAAATTTTGTCTGTAAAGAGCCAGGTAGTCAATATTTAGGTTTTGTGGGCCATACAATCTCTATAACATTGCCAATCTTTGTCACTCTGTCATTGTAGTGCAAAAGCAGCCATAATTAATGTGTAAATGAATGGGTGTGGCTGTGTTCCAATGAAACTTTATGGATACTAAAATTAGAATTTCATGTAAATTTCAGAAGTCACAAAATATTGTTCTTTTGGGGTTTTTTTTCAACCTTTGAAAACTATAAAATCCATTCTTAGCTGGAAGGCTGTGCAAAAACAGACAGCAGGCCAGATTTGTCCCATAGGCAGTAGTTTGCTGATCCCTGCTCTAGAACTTCAAGTGTAGAGAAATGGAAATTTCTTTACCATTATGCAGAAGTTATTCTGCTTACAACTTTTTTAAATTAATAGTTTTGGGGGAGCAGTTTTAGATTTACCTTAACATTGAGTAGAAAGTACAGAGTTCCCTTACACCCCCGCACTTCCCCCATCTTGCAGAGTGTGGTACATTGGTTAGAAATGATGGGCCAATAGTGATACATTATTATTAACTAAAGTCCATAGTTTGCATTAGGGTTCACTTTTCGTGTTGTACATCCTATGGGTTTTGACAAATGTATGACACATATTGACCATTATGTTTGCCAATATTTAACTCATAAGCTAGCTAAGAACAAAAATAAGCGTCAGAATAAAGCACTACAATTCTCTCAGCCACAAATAGGTACAAGATGGCTGTAAGGGTCATTTTGGTTTCCGCTACTTCATTAACATTTATTTTGCTGTGTTTTTGCTTAGTTTCAAAGTGTTTTACAAATATCATTCACTACCACACTTAAAATAATGAGAGTGCTGGAAGACCTAGTGTGAAGAGCCATACAATTGCAATTTTAAAAAGGCAGTGGTTTTTTTTAAAAAGTTTCAAAGTGGAAAGAAAATGCAAATGTTGCACATGGGATAAAAGTACTGAAGAGGAAGGAGTCAGGAAGTCAAAGAAGGAATGATAGTAGGAGCTCTTATATACTGCTCGGTTGGTTCAATCATTTTAGATACAGGTTGGCCTTGTCTGGTGAAGTTGAAGCTCTGCACACTCTACGGCCCACTAATTCCATTCCATGGAAACTCTCAGTGACACACTTAAGAAAGGTCAGCATAGCGCTCTTCCTAAGAGCCCACACTGAAAACAACCTAAATGTCCACCTACCTGGTAGAATGAATAGATTGTAGTATAATGAAAATGAACAAATCACAGCCACACACAAAAACACAGATGAAACTTACATACATAATGGGAAAACCAAAGAAGCAAGGCATACATGATGATTCCATTTCTATGTTGATTTCTAAAACATAAAAATAGACTGAGATTTTTAGGGAAATAAAACTACAGTTTCCTGTTGCCTGAGGAGGTCTGAGCCAAGGATCCATCATCATGAAGTCCTCTGTGGAGTTAGGAGGACCGCTGCTTCTGCTTGTTTCTTTTATTTGGTTGTGTTCTGGGCAAGAGCCAGTGGAGGTGTGGGGACTATAAAGAAAGACAAGCAGGTAATTACCACTGGTTACTTGAGAGAGTGATCAGGAAGGGATGAGGAGAATGGTGTGGGTGGCCAGTTTCGGAGGTATAGTGGTATTCTATTTCTTTTTAAAATTTATTTTCCAAATTGAAGGCCTGGCATGGCCCTACTGATCCGTGTGTGTGTGTGTGTGTGTGGTAAAAAACACAATGTGAGATCTACCCTCTTAAACTGTTAAGTGCACAGTACTATTAACTATAAGCACAGTGTTGTACAGCTGGTCTTTTTTATCTTACATGACTGGAAAGGGTTCTGCTTCTTGACTGTGCATTCACTCTACTATATGTTTTATGCATACTTGTATTATATTTTACTTTTTTTAGGGATAAAAAAGAATGAATCATATAAACAAGGAAAACTGCCTAAGTGAAGAGAACTGAACAGAAAAGGCTAATGATGAAGTTGACATGGACAAACTTCTGACTGTATGGCCAGGAAATGAGCAGCATTGCAAGATACCTTCTACTTTAAGACTCACACAGAAGGCTGGCAATTTGAAAGCTTAGAGGCTAAGCATGGTGGAAAGTGTTCCTGATAAAATTTCGGTCATGAGCCACTAATGGTCCCAGGGATTCAAGCCCTTATGGAATCATCATGGCATCAAAATGAATGACAATGGGTCAAGTGAGGTTGCTCCAGCTGCTAAAAAATTCTCTTCAGCATTTACCAAACAGAAAAGGTTTCTTGCCTTGACAGATCTTCACTATAGTTGTAACCAGCCTATATTGGTGAAGGATGCCTGATAGAATTTATGTGGGGGCTTCCCTGGTGGCGCAGTGGTTGAGAGTCCGCCTGCTGATGCAGGGGACACGGGTTCGTGCCCCGGTCCAGGAAGATCCCACGTGCCGCGGAGTGGCTGTGGCTGGGCCCGTGAGCCATGGCCGCCGGGCCTGCGCGGCCGCTGGGCCTGCGCGGCCCCTGGGCCTGTGCTCCGCAACGGGAGAGGCCGCAATAGTGAGAGGCCCGCGTACCGCAAAAAAAAAAAAAGACTTCATGTGGGAATAACCTGCTCTCGTTGGTGTAAGTACAAGTCAGGACTGAAAGCTTACATCTCTTTTACTCCTTTCATCTTCAATACAAATGGGCTGAAGAAGCAGGTTCTTGGAATCTAATACGTTTATAAGAAGAGCATCTGTATCTAGATTTATACTAGTATTGTCTGGTAGCCAGCTTTCAAAAATGGCCCCCATTGATTACCCTTCTGTAATCTCCTCCCTTTGAGTGTGGTCCTGACCTAGTCACTTGTTGATAACAAAGAGATTATGGAAAAAAAAAAAAAAAAAGATTATGGCAAAAGTGATGGGATGTCACTTTCATGGTTAGGTTACAAAAGACTGACTTTCATCCAGCTGGACTCTCTTTTGCCTTCTCAGCTTGCACATTTTGATGAAGCAAGCTGCCATGTAGGAGAGGCCCAAGGAACTGAATGAACGTAGCTTCTGGTTAATGCCAGCAAGGGACTAAAGCCCTCTATCCAACAGCTGCAAGGAACTTAGTTCTGCCAGCAAACACAATAACATTGAAAGTAGATCCTTCCATAATCAAGTCTTCAGATGAGACCACAGCCTTGGCCAACACTTTGATTGCAGCCTTGTAATTCCAGCTAAGCCACACCTGACTTCCAGAAATTGTGAAATAATAAGCATGCTTTAATTTTAAGACACTAAATTTTGGAGTACATTGTTATGTGGCAATAGATAACTAATAACGTACATCCTGGGACCAAATATCCCCTTTCCCTAGGGAAGATCTATTTCAGCCTTAGTGGGGTTGATGAATAGTGTGGCAAGCAAATTCTTCCTTCTCCCAAAATATCCCCTTTGTTCCTCTGGCTTTGCATTGTTAAACTAGTCAAAGTATATTTCAAATACTGGGGAATATTGTGGTCTTAGTTCTTTTGAGATGAACAGTATTGTCATTTAAATTATCTTCCAATCAGAAGGAATTAGGAACTTATGTCTCTCTAAGGAGGCTATAGTTTTCCTTATGGGGACTATTGTAGTAAACAATTCACACATTCTGTTACCCTGAAGTTAGTCATTGGCCCTTGGGGGTTACCTCTAGAGAGGAATTCTTTCAAAAATAATTTCATGGCAGCAAATAAGGGAAATGTATGATACACTTGTGAGTTCTCTATCTTCACTCCTATTTAGAGAAATGCTCCCAAATCTTTGTAGGCATCTAAGAAGCTAAAATCCCCAGGCATTTCCCATGGGACAAGTTGAAGATCTGTCCTGAGTGGGTATCTGTGGGCAGGTTACTGAGCAAAGACTTGATACATGCATCCACAGTGCCTACGCCCTGCAGGCACTCTATACCCAATATGTTGACCTGTTACTCATAAAGTTAGAGTCCCAAAAGAAAATGTTATGTACTTTATGTTCTTTATTTAAAGAATCCAGCTTAAATGGATTGGCTGGAATTAGAGTATCTACAGGAACAGAGACAAATGGTCTTCCACATAAACTTTAAGGAATTCACAGTTAGGAGAATGATTACTAAGGATATAAGTAACTTTTTTTTTTTTTTTTTTGCGGTACGTGGGCCTCTCACTGTTGTGGCCTCTCCTGTTGCGGAGCACAGGCTCTGGATGCGCAGGCTCAGCGGCCATGGCTCACGGGCCTAGCCGCTCCGCAGCATGTGGGATCTTCCCGGACCGGGGCACGAACCCGTGTCCCCTGCCGGACTCTCAACCACTGCGCCACCAGGGAAGCCCAACTTTTTAAAAAAAATGTTGGGAACTCCTGGCGGTCCAGTGGTTAGGGCTTGGCGCTTTCACTGCTGAGGGCCTGGGTTCGATCCCTGGTTGGGGAACTAAAATCCCAGAAGCCATGTGGCACAGCCAAAAAAAAGTTACAAGGATGCCAACACTGTAGTGGGAGTTCTAGCCAGAGCGATCAGGCAATAAAAAGATATAAAGGCATCCATATAGGAAAGGAAGAAGTAAAACAATCTCTATTCACAGATGACATGATCTTATACATGGGAACTACAAAAGAATGGACCGAAAAAACCTTTCAGGGCTATTAAGCAGATTCAGCAAAGTTGCGGAATACAAGATCACACAAAAAAATCAGTTGTATTGGGCTTCCCTGGTGGCGCAGTGGTTGAGAGTCCGCCTGCCGATGCAGGGGACACGGGTTTGTGCCCCGGTCCGGGAAGATCCCACATGCTGCGGAGCGGCTGAGCCCGTGAGCCATGGCCGCTGAGCCTTTGCGTCCGGAGCCTGTGCTCCGCAGCGGGAAAGGCCAAAACAGTGAGAGGCCCGTGAACCAAAAAAAAAAAAAAAAAAAAATCAGTTGTATTTCTATACACTAGCAATGAACAATCCAAAAATGAAATTAAGAAAACAATTCCAGGGAGTTCCCTGGTGGTTCAGTGGTTAGGACTTGGTGCTTTCACTGCTGTGGCCCTGGGTAAAATATACAGAAAGAAAATTCCATTTACAATTGCATCAAAAGAATACTTACGAATACATTTGACAAAGTAAGTGCAGAAGTTATACCCTGAAAACTACAACACTGCTTAAACAAGTTAAAGAATAATTAAATAGTGGAGGGACTTTCCTGGTTGTGGTGCAATGGCTAAGATTCCACGCTCCCAATGCAGGGGGCCCAGGTTCAACCCCTGGTCGAGGAACTAGATCCCACATGCATGCTGCAACTAAGAGTTTGCATGCCACAACTAAGGAGCCCACCTGCTGCAACTAAGACCTGGTGCAATCGAATTAATTAAAAAAAAAGAAATAGTGGAAAGACATCCATGCTCATGAATTGGAAACCTTAATATTTTTAAAACGGCAGTACTCTCCAAATTGATCTATAGATTCAACATAATTCCTACCAGAATATCAGCTGACTTCTTTGTAGAAAATAATATAACCCTAAAATTAATATGGAAATTCAAGGGACCCAGAATAACCAAAACAGTCTTGAAAAAGAGGAAGAAAATTGGAACATTCACACTTCCCGATTCCGAATCTTACTATAAATCTACTGTGTGGTATTGGCATAAGGATAGATATATAGAACAAAAGAATAGAATTGGGAGTACAGAAATAAACCCATGTAGCTATGGGCAACTGACTTTTGACAAAGGTGCCAAGACCATTCAATGGGGAAAGACTCGTCTCTTTGACAAATGGTGCTGAGACAACTGGATAATCACATGGAATAGAATGACGTTCAACCCTTACTTCACACCATATACAAAATTTAACTCAAAATAGACCATAGACCTAAATATAAGGGCTAAAACCATAAAACTCTTAGAAGAAAACGTAGGGGTAAATCTTCACAGCTTTGGATTTGGCAATGATTTCTTACATATGGCACCCAAAGTACAAGCAACAGAGAAAAAAGATAAATTAGGACTGAACCAAAAACAAAAAATTTATTTTGCATCAAAGGGCACTATGAAGAGAGTGAAAAGACAGCCCACAGAATGGAAAACAATATTTGCAAATCATCTCTCTGATAAGTGTTTAGTATCCAGAACATATAAAGAAATCCTACAACTCAACGAGAAGACAGGGACTTCCCGGGTGGCGCAGTGGTTAAGAATCCGCCTGCCAATGCAGGGGACACGGGTTTGAGCCCTGGTCTGGGAAGATCCCACATGCTGCAGAGCAACTAAGCCCACATGCCACAACTACTGAGCCTGCACTCTAGAGCCAGTGAGCCACAACTACTGAGCCCACAAGCTACAACAACTGAAGCCCGCACGCCTAGAGCCCATGCTCTGCAACAAGAGAAGCCACCACAATGAGAAGCATGCGCATTGCAACTAAGAGTAACCTCCGCTCGCCACAACTAGAGAAAGCCCACGTGCAGCAATGAGGACCCAACCCAGCCAAAATCAATCAATTAATTAATTAATTTTAAAAAACAAAAACAAAAAACCGCAATGAGGGAAGTCCCTGGCAGGCCAGTGGTTAGGACTCCACGCTTTCAGGGCCATGGGCCCAGGCTCAATCCCTGGATGGGGGAACTAAGAGCCCGCAAGCCGCGTGATGTTGCCAGAAGAAAAAACAAAACAAAACGAAGGGGAAAAACCCCACAATGAGATAAGAGGTACTACTTCACACCTACCAAGATGGCTAGAATCAAACAAGAAGAAGAAGAAGAAAAGGAAAATAAACGTTGGTAAGGATGTGGAGAAATTGGAACCCTTGCAAATTGCTGATGGGAATGTAAAATGGTGCAGCTGTTGTGGAAGCATTTGGTGGTTCCTCAAAATTTTAAACACAAGAATTACCATATGACCCAATAATTTTACTCCTAGGTAAATACCCAAAAGAATTGAAAATAGGTACTCAGATACTTGTTCACGAATGTTCCTAGAAGCACTATTCATAATAGTCAGAAGGTAGAAACAACTCAAATGTCTATTATTGGATAACTGGATAAATAAATGTAGTAGTATATATATACAATGGAATAGTCAGCCATATAAAGGAATGAAGTATTGATATAGGCTACAACATGGAGGAACCTCAAAAACATTATGCTTAGTGAAGAAGCCAGACTGAAAATGTCATGTGTAGGTTTCCTTTATATGAAACAACCAGCATTGATAAATCCAGAGACAGAAGGCAGATCAGTGGTTGTCAGGAGACTGGGGAGGAGGAGTGGGAAGTGACTATTGGTGGGTGAGGAGTTTCCTTTAAGAGTGAGGGAAATGTCTTGGAACCAGTTATAGGTGATGGTTGCACAACTTTGTGAGTGTACCAAATGCCATGGCATTGTCTGCTTTAAAATGGTTAATGGCCCATTTTGTTACTTGAATTTTACCTCTTAGGAAAAAAAAACCCCAAACCGTTGAGCTTAGCAACCACTTTTTCAGTAGTGCCAAGTATTTATTATCTCACTTAATTCTGATAACCAACTCTGTGAGAATGGATAGATTGCCCCCTACCCCACCATATTCATATTGTCCCCCAAACTGAATTCCTATTTCATATATATATATAAAAAGTATATGCTCAACCACAGAGTGTTTTTGAGAGGAGGTACATACCAACTAAGCCTCATAGGCCTCACAGTGTCCTTATACAAGATAAAGGAAGTGGCCCAATGCTAAAAGGCTCTTCTACTGTTAGTGCTAAAATTCTACTTCAACTCTACTGTGTCTATCACCACCAGCTGCACTTCTGGTGAGCAAGGATCACTTTCAGCAGAAGTGATTTCTTTATGGTCCAAAGTCCAAGTGAAGAGGATTTACTAATACTGATTACGTACTCTTGAATGAGCACCTTGCTCATTACATTGTACTGTTTCCCCTTTAGCAACTGTAGTATTTCATAAAAACCCAAAGAAATCACATAGGCCCACCATATTACCCAAAGTTGAAACTAGGCTGCCGTTCCTAAGATTTTTTCGCTTGCCAGTAGCAGAGATTGCCAAATTCTCTAAACCTGTTTTTAAGTAATAAAGGTGCTCTATGGAAAGTTCACGGCCATTGGTGTCTCATGGACCTGTGTATTGACTTCGGTAGTCCCACATCTTTAATGCGGGGCCCTAAAAGTTACTTAACGTCCCTCTCAGGTTTCTCCCCTACAGATGGGAAATAACCGATATTAGTTTGCAATGAGGAAGCTTGCAACTTATTCCTGTCACCTCAGGAATATTAGGGCACCCCTTTGTGCAGCCTGAGTAATGACTCCCCATCTTGGGGAATGAGGAAGGGCCTGGTTTAACCTAAGTTTAGGAATAAAATGATTCATGTCATTTCACACGGGGTGGGGGGGCGAGGGTGGTAGTGAAAGAACTTAATTGAAATTCAGATTCAATGGCAAGACTTGTATTAATTTTACAAGAAAAGCAAGGGAATTCCCTGGTGGTCCAGTGGTTAAGACTCTGCACTTCCACCCCTGAGGGCGCAGGTTCAATCCCTGGTTGGGGAACAGGGATCCCGTGTGGTGTGGCCAAAAAGGAAAAAAAAAAAAAAAAAAAAGCAGTTTCATAGTTTTGTTATCCTTTTTTTCAGGCTACTGATGGTCAGTGCCACCATTCTGGCCTCAAGAGAACAAGCTTCAAAGGGCATGCATAACCTGTGAATAAGCCACATCTGTGCAGTAAAAGGAACGATGTTTAGAAAAGATTCATAGGCACCGGTTTCTTCTTACTAAGCAGTTTATTTGTTTTTAGTTCTAACATTGACTTTTTCATAAATATTCATCTCACATCTCCAATAAGGCTCCTTGAGAGCAGTGCCCATATCTAATTTTTATCATGAATTAGCACCTGGTACACAACAGATGCTCATCAAGTATTCTGCTACCTCTTTCCTAACAATTTCCCACTGGCCAATGCTTCCCCAAATGTGACAGATCGAAGGTTTATAGGAAAACAGACCCAGTGGTATCATTTCAAAAGGGAGGTATCTTTCAATTCTTTTGATTATATGAAAGTATAACTGTTGCTTACTACCCTTTAACACATGCTGGCTTTTCTTTCTTACAGATTCAGAAACTTCCAAAGCAACAGTATTTATCTAAAATAAAATGTTTATTCATTTTCCACTGATAGTATCTATGTATGGCAATTTATACTGGTTTTCCATTCATGAGACATCAAATTTTCTTTTTAAATATATTTAAGTAGAAGTAACTCAATTTAAAGAAAAACAAAACCGAAAAAACCCTGAAGTAATGCAGAGGTGGAACACAAATGAGGTAAAACATTGTAAAGGTGATTCACCAAGGACTAAAGATTGGGAAACAATGCCCGAGGCAAAGTGTTCCCGTTCTTGAGGGGTAAGTAGGTATGCTTCTAATGGTGCAGGTGTGTCAGATTCATCAGGCCTTTGAGAGTTCAGTGACGTGACAGGATCAACATCACATGTTAACAAGATTCTGCTGTGTCTTGTGAAGGAGGACCACATACCATACAGTGTACCACAAAAGCAGAGATCAAAAACTGAAGCCAAAGCAAATTCATGAAACTTAAAAAAAAATCCTTTATAAACCAAGATATATCCTAGTATTGAACTGCTCCCAGACCAAAAAATAATACGGGGCGGGGGGGGAGGGGCGGGGGTGTTGGTGGTTGTGGTGGTGCATTCAGCCACTGGCTGTATTTAACAAGCAAAGTGTCACCAAAATCTACTTATCCAACTTTTATTATTCCAACTACAGTGTAAAGAGAGATGTCACAGCCACTTGTGGGAACGTACAACTTCTGCAGCCTTCAAACCAAGGCAGAAAGCCACGCAACTCTTAAGACAAGCCTGTGAGGTACACTTTTCTGAAGGAAATGGCTGGGTCTCTTCACCAAAATAGTATTCCAGCATCATATACCCTAGTACTGCTTATAAACCAAAGAAGAAAGAACAATGCATTATATAACGCATCCGCTGAAACAGGGGAAGGAGGATCATTCTGTGGGAATAGCGTCTTTGGACTCTGCATCAGTTTGTCCCACTCCGGCTCCTGCGGCAGCTTGGACAGGAGCAGTGACTGTCAAGGTGCCTTCCGACTCTGCTGCCAGGGTTTCCACTTCACCTCCAGCCTCAGCAGCTTTGCCTCCAGCCTCAGCAGCTTCGCCTCCAGCCTCTGCTTCAGCGTTGCCCTTCTCAGGTGCCATTCCGCAGGGTGCCTCCGCTTCCAGCTGCTCTCCGGGGTGGGGACCACTAGCGGTCTCAGCTGTGTCCGTAGGGCCTTCCCCTTCCACCAGCATTTCACTACTTTCCGGGGTAGGTGCTCCTTCCCCATCCACTGCCCTCACTGCTGCCGTAATCACCTCAGCTAAGACCTCGGCAGCTACCTCCTCTGGCGTCTCTTCCTTATCCTCACCTCCTAAATTGTCATCTCCTTCTATTTCCGGATCAACGGCTTCACTGGTGAAAGGATCTTCACCCTGGCCAAGAAGAGGAAACACAGGTTAGTGCAGTCTAAAGAACTGTCCAAATGAGAGACTGAGGCTCAGGTTGCTGGGAGTTTATCTTTTTATAATGGGCAGAGTCAACAAGAGAAACCTTTTAAATCACACCAAGTGAGTCAATCCTACAGCTGCTCAGAGCCCACAGACTCAGAAAAGACATCTCAGAAAAGCTTCACCAGTACTATTTTGCACTTATTATTCAAGCATGTGAGGAAAGGTTTAAAAGACCTAGGCTTTCTTAACCCAATTAAAGAAAAAAAAAAAAAAAAGCCTCATTTTAACAGGAAGTTAAGGCTCTTTCTTAAGTTTCGATTAAGCACTCAGCCCAGGCATGAAGGTTATCCCCATTTTACAGAGAAGGATATGAGACTTAAAGATCGTTAACTTGCCAGGTCACACAGCCATTAAACATCAGTCAGGATTCAATCCAAGTGTACCTCTCTCCGAAGCTGAATTTCTCATGAGCATATGCTAAAACTATGTCTAGTTTAGAAAAAGTAAACTAAACATTATCACTAGCAGATTAGAAAACGTGTTTTAAAATACGCTGTTTAGAGAGTTCCCCCCGATGGCCTAGTGGTTAGGATTCCGGGCTTTCACTGCCATGGCCCAGGGTTCAATCCCTGGTTGGGGAACTGAGATCCCGCAAGCCGCAAGGTGGGACCCAAAACAAAAACAAAGACACTTATTAGAAGCTTGAGTCTACAGCTGACTCCAGGAACTTTAAGTCTGTTTAAGCCACAAAGTAAACACTGATCAGTTATGGTTCTTAAACCGGTTATTTAGATTCTATCCCTTCATGGTTGAAATGAACTGTCAAACACTGAAGCAGTTAATAACCGAGAGGAGGGCAAACACATCCTAGTCAGGTTATGCTGAATCTTAACTCCCAGCCCTAAACGCTGAAGTCATGGGGCTGAGCACTTAGCAAAATACGCTTCCCAAGGAGGAACCAGAGACTCTTCCAACCAGACTCCTCGCTAGGGTACCCCCTTTGGGATTTTTTTGTTACTCTGCTCCTGTTACTCCGTCGTATGGCACCACTGGCTCTTCCCTCCCCCTCGTTCCCCATCTCATTGTTGGTTGTCTCTGCCTGCAAAACCTTGTTTTAGCTTCTACCTGGACAATTATCATTTATTTTGGTTTGTTCTGAAGCATCTCACCAGCGTTTTGCTTGGTATTTTATGGAAAGTCAGGGTTTCTCATGTTGAGAGTCAGCACCATCACACAGATTAATCAAGTAGGACCAAACTCCAGAGTGCCCAGGCAAGCAGTGAGTCTCAGGAAATGCGCAGTTGTGGAATCCCAAGCCCGATACATTCCAACATCTCTCAATTCTTCAAAAGACTCAGAAATGCCAAATACTGCACTCTGGATATAATTCCAAACCCACAGAGTTAGTTCGTCCTCCATCTCAAGAGCTCTGCCCACCTACTGGACTCGTAAGCACAAACCTTGAGGTACTTTTCCAGCATCTTCACAATATGTCTGTTGTTCAAAACACTCTTGGCCACATGGAGACTTGTCTTCTTGAACTGTTCAGCAGCCAGCTACAAAGGGAATCAAACATGGGCTTTTACAAATGGCGTGCACAGAGAAGCATGAGAACAAATCAGCCTGGTTACACTCAGCTCCTCTGAGATCAGTCCTACGCGGAGAGACAACTAACATCTTTCTTCACTATGGTAAGTCCCCAAATGCTAGGCTCCAATAGTGAAAGAAAGAGAGGCACTGGAGAGGCACTGGAACTGAGATTGTGAAATAGTGCAGAAAAGTCTGATAATCTCGAAAGACAAAAGCACAGGCACATGACTGATGTATACTATGTGCACAAGCGAGGATGAAATAAGAACATTTACACATCAGAAGCTATGTGGACTCGGTAGGGGAAAAGGGCAAGCTGCTTCTTCAGTTTTTTGAGTTTTATTGACTTTACAAGTAAATTCTAGAGCAAAAGTCTGAATGCTGCAACCATTTGACTGTTCTAGAGCTTGACACATTCATATGATAATCCCATATTTGAACAGTGGTTTTTGGCTGATCTTTAGTAATACCAGGAGACGGGTGGGCAGGTAGCTCCAATTTGGTAGTCAGGGTAAACCAACGATAGACAGAGATGCTCAACCAGGGCTTGGCGAGCTACAGCCCGCAGACCAAACGTGGCCACACCCATTCCTTTACTTATGGCCTGTGGCTGCTTTTGCCCATCAGCAGCGGACTTGAGGCGTTAGGCAGAGACCTGATGGCCTTCAAAGCTGAAAATATTTACAATTTGACCCTTAAAAAAAAAAAAAAATTGCGAACGCCTTGAGCTAAACATTTAGCCTCAGGCCCCATCAGCTAGTAAGGATCAAACCAGTCCTTAGTCCTGGGTCCCCTAGGCCATTCTGCTCTGAGTGGCCCTCAGCCTCAGCTTATAAGAAATCCAGTTTTTCAGGAACTGGGGAATTTACCCGTGTGGTTTACAAAGAACATTCTCAACCCAGGAGATCTGCAGCTACTGGATTTAGTCAATCTTAAGCAACACATTTTTCTCAGGTTTTAATAGAAACTGGGGTGCATTTTACAACCACCTGATGAAATGATGGACTTGATGGTATATGGCAAAAGCCCCTAAAGATGTTAGCTTCCCCATAAGAGACAGAAAGTTTGGAACCCCTCCCACTAGCAGCCAGAACTGCCTGCCCCACCCAGCATCAGGGGGGCACTCACCCGGCGGTTGTGATTGTGGTCGACAGAGTGCAGGTGCCGCTGAAGGAGCTGGGGCTGCGCAGGGATCAGCATGTCACAAGCCAGGCAGTGAGCAGCCTCTATTTTCTTGAAGAAGTGCTCCTGGCCAATCCCTGTTGACAAAACCCAAGTCTTGTGGGATCTGGGACAGCATGCAAGTGATGCTTTCTTCCCACTCACTCCCCATCAAGGCCCACATTTTCTCCCTGTAGCCCCTCTCTAAGGATTCAGTTAGGACAGAATCTAAGACGGGCATCACCTGCCCTCCAGAAGGAGTATGGAGACAGACAAATGGCCTCTACACCTGGCAACTTTATACTTAACTTTTCTCATTCTTCTGGTCCTTTCTCTTCATACAAAGGAGAAAAAAACATCAGAGTGCTTAATGTCACTCCAATAAGCTGCCTGTAGAGGTGTCATCTACATTAGGCCACACTCGAAGGCTTCTTTCCCCTGCTCAGTGCCCCTCCCACTTGTCTTCACGTCACATGCTCAACCACCCCGAGCTGGGCTCTGTGATTTGGAATAGCACACACCCCAGGATCACAACTCACCTTTGAAAGGATCTGGTTTTGGTTTTGTGGTTTCCTTCTCCATCAGTTCCTGACGCCGCTTCTCAATTTTCTTATTCCTGTTTACAATGTATTCCTAGAGAGGTTGTGAGATGGCACCAAAGGAAATGAGGAGAGGGTGACACATGTGGATATTTTCCAACTGCACCAGAGGCAGCCCCCCAAGGGTGACTGCCAAGCCCATGGGGGGCAGTGACAGCCTTATCTCAGCTGCTCCAAGGAAGGGAAGACAGCTATCAGAGCAGCTCCATGGGCAGAATTAGTGGGAACTACAATGATGGGAGCTCTCAGTTGTCCCTCTGACGTCGGGACTTGTACACTGCTATTCTGGAAAACGAAATCTTGACCAAGTTTAGGCCTCTTATTTCCCTTCCCTTCTCTGTGAGGGATCTGACACTTGCAGGATCACTGGGAAATGCCGTGATGGAGGCCAAGCGTGATTTACCTGGAGGAACTCTACCGTCTTGTCAGGCAATTTGGTACTTATAAACCGCAGTGTCTCTTTGTGAAATTTGCTTTGCAGATGCTTCTGGATTTCTTCATCTTCGAAGCTACGAAACTTGCACACGGAACAGGCAAACTGAATCCTGGAGAAGGAAGACAAAAAGAAAAGCGGTGATGCGCAGATAACCAAATCATCTCTGCTTAGAACTGAAATGGAAATGGGAAAGCAATTTCTGAATTAAGTCTTCTGACTTGTCACAGGGTGTCAGAGTAGCAGTTACCCCAAGTTTCCCCACCTTAAGAATGAGAGTACAACCTTGCAAGTATTTCAGCAAAACGATTCACGTAGCACTTTACTACCTTACCACTCTTTTTGGTCCAAAGGCTCACAAGAGAACAGCCAAAGGTGGAGACTGTTCAGAACTGTGAGCTCCCTAAGTCTCCAGCCCACTGCTCTGGGGGCCTAGTACCTAACTTCATAGCTTCTCAGATGTCTCCTTCTGCAGCCACTCAGAAGATACAAGGCAACCCCATTAAATACAACAGAGGAACTCCCGAAGACCTCACACAATTCAAAACTCACATATCCTAAGATCAATTCTCCAGTGGGACTCAACGTAAAGACATCACAATCAAGTTCTATGAAGGAAAACTGAGACTTCTTGTGTGCTTTCAAAATCTCACCAAATGCATGCATGCTGTACGGCAAGGGGAGAGCACGCTAAAGACCCCCAAACCCCCACAGTGGGGTGCTGCTTCCCTCAGCTCTGCTCCATTTGGGGTGTAATAGCACAGGCCCTGGGGCACTCAGGAGTCCTCCCCTGCCAACTTAGAGATCTGCTGGCCCCCAACGCCTGCCTTCTGATCTCTGGACAAGTGCCACAAGACACTCTTGCCTTGGCGGATACCCCCGAAAGAGGAGTGAAGAGGGAAATCTCCCAGGCCCTATGTGCAGGACTATCAGGAAGCTACCAAGGAAATACAGGGTTCCTACTTCCCTGCTACAACTTTACCTCCCCCATGACAATTTCTCCAAGTTTCTTTGAGGATCTTCAGTCACTAGGGCAGTCTAAAGATTCCTTTAAAACAGTCATCTCAGTTCCCATGGGGCATGAAAACGGATCTAATATAGCTGTCATTTTATTCATCTGTTTAAAAACAAGGATTTCAATGAATTCTGTGTAACACTTGGAACTCCTACTTTTCAGTTCCTGGCTTTCCAGCCTCTACTGTTAGCTCTTTCGCTAAGCATTTCTTTGCACAGGGAAACCACTACCCCCATTTAAGCCTCAAGGGCAAGGGTTCCCTTCCAAGTCATCAAGAGAACCTGTGCATAGAGACATAGCCACCTGTGGTCATGGGCCTCATCAACCACGCACTCACGTGGCCACCTGTGGTTTACGGGGAGAGGCGCATGGTGTGGTCACAGCACACAGCCCTTTGGGGTTTGCACTTTTGCATTTTTTTCTATTTAGAGACAAAATCTTGAAGGTAGCAACTATACATATGTAATCGTCATGTCAAACTCCACAGGTGGTTTGGATTTATTTGGACAAGGGACCCAAAGCACCTTCTTGGCAGCTATGCTGAATGAACTTCACCTGTCTGGGATGACAGACACAAGCCAAGGGGCAAGGGAACTCCTCACAGCCCTGCAGGAGGGCAATCAAGAGAGCCGCCAGCTGGGAATGTGAGGCCACACAGACCCACCAGCAAGAATAAGATTCAGTGTGTTTCCCAAGTTTTGTCTCCCATCGACCTGACTTGGATTTCCTGACATACACCTGGAGTCAGAAGGTCAAACCAGGCCCCCCGCCCTGCATTGTGGAGTGATGACAGAGGAGCTCAGGGGAGTCTTGACAGTGCTCACCTCCCACCTCGCCTGCCTCCTCACCTGTCAGCTGCTCGGTCTCTCATCCTGTCTCTCCTCCTTTGCTTTTCCCTCCTCTTCTTCACTTCATCATCCTCATCGTCCTTCTCTCCTGCAACAGAAAAGTCCCTTCGAGACACTCTGAGGAGCCTGCAGATGAGCTGAGCACCAGGGCCTTGAATGGGGGCCACAGTTCGGCCACCATACCCCATGCCCTGCCACGGCCTCCACACGTGGCGGGGGCAGGACACCCTGAGGTACCAAAGGGCCGTCAAAGGCTCCCAACAGGGGTGGCCTTTGATGAGAACCCTCAGTAGTTCCCAAGGGAGTCACCTCACTCCCCCCATGGTCTGATAAGGCTGGCATGGGCCAGGGACATGGCCCGCCCATCCCACTCACACCATGGCCCACCTGCTCTCTGTGTCCTTCCCTATCTTGCTTTTCTAATCCAGCACCCTACAATTGGGTCTTCTCCCAATGTTACTTAAGGAGAGAGAGAAGCAATTCTTCCCAGATAAAGAGGCAGCAGCTGGAAGGCCTCAGAAAATAAAGCAAGCCACTCTACTGCCCTCCGTCCCACCTCTAGGTGGACCATGACAACTGTCCCATTGGCCTCCTCTGAACTAGGGCCTCAGCAGGTCTGACAATCCCTGGTGGCCCAAACTCTATCTTCCACTCACAAAAACCGTCAATCTAGGGCTTTCCCAAGAATATGTGGGAAGCAATCCCAGAAATAAAAATGGGAAGAGACCAACTGGTCCTCCGTCCATCCCGTGGGGCCAGTGTGGGAGCTCCTCTGAGAGCTGTGCAGCCCAGAGACCCAGCATGAGGCGAGGCCAGGCCAGGTCACCGCGGCTCAGGGCCAGGGCCAGACACTGAAAAAAGGTTGGATAAGCATCTGAACTGTAACCCCTACCCCTGATGCCAGTCACGAGACTGTCCCACGAAGATGGCGACCGGCGTGCGCTGCTCAGAAGCCTCTCAAAAGGGCGTGTGGGATATTTGGCAAGAGGTCACTGCCTGAAACTATTACTGCTGTTTAATAGCAAAGTCATCCCGGGTAGGTAGCAGGACCTGCGCGCAATAAACACGTCACCTTTGCTTTAGCATTTACCCCGCTGCATGAGCTGCAAAATGCTGTCTGTGGTCCCATGCTATAAACGTTAACTGCCTCAATAAACAGGGCAGGAGGACCTCAGAGGGTTGGCGGAACCTGAACATATGAGAGAAGGAGCATCTAAGCCAGGGGCCTTCAGAATTTATGGGAGCAGAGTCACACAGGAGGCAGCCTGTGATTCTTAGGGGAAACCAGCTATGGACAGACCCATGGGAACAGGAAAAGAAACAAGTGGCTGCTTCTCCACGTCCCCCTGAAGGGCTTAACACTGCTCTGTTCTTGCTGCTTATTTTGGTCTCTTAGGTTTCCCTCGCTCGAACTGGTGAGATCTGCTGAGCAGTGACTGCCTCTGGAGGATCTGGGCCTGAGTGTCCCGACAGTCCCCCCCCCTTCCCGAGCTCCCCACCCAGGCAGGTGTCTGAACTCTGCCCCATGCCGTGCCAGTGTCCCCACCACAGAGGCTGAGAGCATGGCCCTGGCCTGGCAAGCAAGGGAACTGTGGACAGAATGAAGCCCGGGAGAAAACAGTACAGGGACCTGCACTGGCCAAGGGGGGAGCAGAGAAGACAAGCTGGAGGGCGCCTTTTCTTTTCTCTCTTGCATTTCTGAGACTCTCCCTTCCCTACCACTGCGAGCTATTGCAGACACCCAGAGATGAGTTTCCCCCTGCCTCTGCAGCCTGCACTGAGTGAGGCAAACAGACCTGTCTCCAGCAAGTGTTGCTCCAAACACCAAGGCAAAGCCTCAGGGTAACTGGCATGGCCAAGGCCCACCTTGCAGGCATGGCCCCTCTTCTGCCCTGAGCCACAAGCCCCTCCACCCAGGCCCTGGGCTCGCTCAGAAACCCAGCCCGCCTGGGCATTAGGCAGTGAGTGCAAGGTAGCTGGGCAGACACAGGAAAGCTCAAAGGGATGCTGGGTGATGCCTACCTCTCTGCCTCCCGGATTCGAAGAATTCGTCCTCCTAAAAAGGCACAAAGTCAGACCGTGAGGTGGAATTTCTAGAACTCTCCACGACCAGCCCAGCACCCTGCCACCACCTGGTGGTCGCTGTGCCACCAGGAACACGCCCAAAATGTGTCAGGACAAGTTCCAGGGCCATGGGATGGAGCCTGAGTGTCCTCTCACTAGTCCTGGTTGCCTTCTGAGATTCTGTGATGATGACTAACTTGCTTTTTTATTAAAGACACAGTCCAGCTTTTAGTTCTTCCTAAAGCTAGAGAACTACCCCTGGCAAGTGAACGGTTCTGCACATGGGAAGACCAAGAGCCCATCCATCAACTGTGTTAAGCAACCTCAACTTGTAGAAAGCTAGTTCCTGCACTCTAATGAAAATGGGCTTCATGAAGTTTCCCAGCTACTTGTTTACGTTGTAACAAGCCAGGTATAGATAAAAACGACTCATCTAACGGAAAACTGAAACTGAGGCCATTCCTTAGACATTAAGCTAAAGATTAAATTAGCAATCAGCAGATATGCAGAGATTTTCAGACTCAAGATCTAAGCAACCTAGACATGGAGCAAGCAAGACCCTCAGAAAAGTTGAAAATTCACTGTATCCTGCCCCTTCCTCCCCGCTTCCCCAAACTCGTCTGACCATCAGAAGCACCTGGATGAAGCCTTCATACACCCAGATTTCCAGGCCCTACCCCAGACCTGGATCAGAATTTGCAGGAGGTGGCAAAAGCTTGCGCCCCAGGTGCTTGTGCATGGTCCTGGCTAAGAGCCAGCCTTCAACACCCATCTCCCATGACTGGTTTTGAGAGCTGAATGACAAGGATGCAGCTCAGCACCAGCACAGAGCTGGCAGCAAATGAGTCTTCGGTGCTTGTTTGAAAGGCTCAGCCTACACAGCCACTGCAGTTACCACGTGTACAGCTAGGCACATCACTGCGAGGACACAGGTATGGCTGGGGAGAGGGCTGGGAAGGTCTTCAAGAAAAGAAGGATTGTTGCAAGTGGAAAACTCTTAGAAACCTAGCTGCAAATCTGATTATTAAATCTACTCGTGAGGGCTTCCCTGGTGGCGCAGCGGTTGAGAGTCCGCCTGCCGATGCAGGGGACACGGGTTTGTGCCCCGGTCCGGGAGGATCCCACATGCCGC